ATAAATAGGGGAGAATATATGTCGGCTTGTCTCAAATCAGGCCCTCAGTCATTTTGGTCCTTCACAAACACTTGTAAATACTCACCACTAACTGAACTAGAAGCTCATCCAGCAGTCTGATAGCCTCCACACTCCCAGCCTGAGTCTTCTTAGTCAGGTACTTTGCCTTCAAATGGAAAACAGTTTGATTGAAAAGACTTATTCACTAAATGTAATTGAATTCAATTAGCACTGCTTGGACCGTAAGTCCCATTCGCACACCTTAGTTGTTGAGTCTTTGTCCTGAGTGCTTTGACTCAACAGGTTTCCAGCTAATATGACTCTCGAGATGGAAGCCGCTCCGCTCTGCTCCCCTTGGTCTCCAAGCTGACCGGTTACCATATCAACCAAAAGCTGCAATCCCATCATGCTGTCTGCTTTGCTGCCGTTCAATCCCAGGCCAGAGGCAAGAAGAACAAACCTAAAATGACATTGCAAAGGTTATGTGTGTACCACTTTAACAGTAGGAATGCACAACATATCCGATATCTGAGATTTTTTATTTATTTATATATCGAGTTTGTACGATACATTGAAATCTATTATAAACGATATGGGATGAGGCAACACAGTTTATATGGATATACAGTAGTTTGATATTGATTACAAGCGCATCGGAAAAATAGTGGAGGACATGGAATGAGCTGCAGCAGTGAAAGTGCATAATTCAATTTCTCCTAAACATGAGACATGCTTTATATTAAGGGCTTCAAAATAACATGTAAGATATAGTTAGTGGATATAGTTTAATGTGGCTTGTTGCCCTGACAGACACTTGCTGTTTAATGCATTTGAGATGTGTTTTTCCTCCGTGCATAGCTTAAATTTCACAGGTATATTCTCCATCTGTAAATATTAGAAATGTTGCAATTCTTCTTATTTTTTCCCTTTTTAAACCTCATAATTTTAGATCAAAATGTCATAACTGGACCGTCCTGTGAGACATTAGACTCCTCTCTGGTGAAGCAAGCAGGACTTCTCCCATCATTTAATCCCTTTAAAGCTCACGTTCATCTGCCTCCACTCTTGAGTGCTATGCCCACATCTCAACATCCAATCAACAATCATAGTCCTCATCCTACACGTTTTCTTTTTCGATAATCCGTTACAATTAGGAAGAAAAGATCTTTCGATACTTCTATTTCAAAGTGACTTCAATACTCATCATTTATCAGTTAAAGGTAGGGTAGGAAAATTCAGAGAGACTAGCAATAGCAATAGCAAGTTAGCTTTGAAAGCATAAGATCCCACCCTCCCTTCAGAGCGTCTCCAAAGCCACAACTTCTCCAAAACACACACTGTGCCACAGCAGAGTCTGCAAAGCGCCACGAGAGACGGCGTTAAACTACCTCATGTCTCAAAACACATAAAATTACAATAATGCATGTAAACAAATTAGAGCTCTAGTTGTACCACCTGACTACAGCAGATTCATTTCGGCGTTGACAGAGTTGACATAGAAACGCATTAATCCGAGTAGAAGTCTTGGTTTGCCATCTCTTAATTATGATAGTTATGGCATGAAAGCAGCAAAAGCTTCAGGAGGAACAGTAAATGTGGCTGCTGTTTGACTTCAACTATGCATAACCTCATGTAATATGCTGATTCAGACTGAATACAACTATTCAACGGCCTTTTTTTTGGTCCGGAGACTTCCACAGAAGATGGGTTCATGTTTTTAATATTTAGACCACTTCTATTATTGATTGCTATCAAGATGTGAAGAGAGTTTCAACCACTATAGCAAAAAGTGTTTATGAAAAGCATTGCCTACCCTGCCTTTAATAGTCATCATAACATTTTCATATTTACACCTGTATGTCTAAAAACCAAATCTCCTGCTCTTGAGTCAGTCAGGTCAGGTGTGTGTTTCTGTACCTGTCTGAGCTGGGAGGCTGTCTGGGTGTCTGTGGAGGAAGATCAGCCATGCAGAAGTCTTCAACTGTGAATTTCCCATCATTCTTCTCTGCACCCATGATGGCAATTACACTCCCTGGAAATACGATTTCATTATAAAGCAGGGAAATTGAGAAGAAAGAAAGGTAAGTTTATCTTTCTATATGCATCCCACCTGTTACAAACTTGGGTGTATCAATGTTGCCCTCCAGTTTAATCCTCTGAAGTTCATCCTCCAAAATAAGCTCATCTGATTGGCTGATGTATTTGGAACGAGGTGGCTGGGGCAACAGATTGTGCTGAAGAGAGAAAAGACACGTTACGCTTAAAGCAGGGGTCTCAAACTCGCGGCCCGCGGGCCGATATTTTGTGGCCCCCTACTTGACATTAAAGTGTAATGTTAGTGCGGCCCGTCGTTGCGTGTGCCGCGTTTTAAATGGGCTACCATACGGTGGGTTTGTTGTCAATAGTTGCCATAGACAACCGCTAAGTACAAACATACTGCGCGCCTGGAAAAAATGAGCGCGTCGCTTCAATTATGAGCGCGCTTGCCGCGCACGCGCACCTACATTTGAAATAACGAACTTGAGCGCGCAAAATATGTGAGCGCGATATGTGAACTGCCCCTTGTCGAGAGCGACGTGTTGGAGAGAGACCCTGCTTTAAACAATGTGAGAATAATCATTTTGAGCTTGTAATATGTGTCTAACAGGTTGATAAGAAGGTTTGCTTTGATTTGTGCAGTCAGTAATTTGCCTGAGACACTATGCATGTGTAGAAAGAATTCAATAAGACGGGCAGACATGACTGCAAATATTTGTATTTCAAAAGCAATAATTGTTTTTCTAAGTATATAATAAAAGGAAATGTGCCTTCCAAAAAAAACATTCAATATCATTAATGTGTTGTATAAAGAAAATAAAAAGGACATAAGCAAATATAAATATTACATAGACAAAGAAAGTTTGTAAAATGAACTTCAACTGTCAGAAGGACAGCTCATGAAGAACCAATCATGTACAGAAAGGAATGTTCAAATTCAGAGGAACAGTTCAGAAGAAACGTTAATAATAAAGATTGAGAAGATTGGATCAGTTGTGCTCCTTTTTTGGAATACTTGAATACTATTTTTTGTGGAATACTTGATGCGGCCCAGCCTGACCCAGACTCTACCTCCAGCGGCCCCCAGTTAAGTTGAGTTTGAGACCCCTGGCTTAAAGGGATAGTTCACTTTTCAAAAATGAAATTTAGCCCATGATTTAGTCACCCTGAAGTCATCCTAGGTGTATATGACATTCTTCTTTCAGACGAATATAGAGTTAAATTAAAAAATGTCCTGGCTCTTTCAAGGTTTATAATGCCAGGGAAAGGGTATATTTTTTTGGAAGTCCACCAAAGTGCATCCATCCATGATGAAAGTGCTCGAAACAAGCGATGCGTTAGTGTTAGAAAAATATCCATATTTAAAACTTTATCGACTAAAATAACTAGCTTCCGGCAGACGGCTATACGCATCGATTTACGGCAAAAGATTAACACTTGAACTTGACGCACAACGTAATGACAAACACGGTTGCCCAGCCCTGTTAGTTTGAACCACGAGAGGCGTCAAAGCTTACGCTACCCCTACATCCTACGTCATACATCATCAAGTGTTACTCTTTTGGCGAGTAGAGTGTAGAGTGAAGAGTGTTACTCTTACTTGCAAGACGACTTGAGTACGGCCGTCTGCTGGAAGCTAGTTATTTTAGTTGATAATGGATATTTTTCTTACATGAACGCATCACTTCAAAAGGCCTTTATTAATCCCTCAGTCATATGGAGCACTTTTATAATGGATGGATGCGCTTTGATGGACTTTTAAAAAAAAATACCCATTCACTCCCATTATAAAGCTTGGTAGAGCCAGGACATTTTTTAATATAACTCAGGTTGTATTCGTCTGAAAGAAGAATGTCATATACACCTACTCTAGAATGGCTTCAGGGCAAGTAAACCATGGGCGAATTTTCATTTTTGTGGGAACTAGGCCTATCCCTTTAAAAGGGAAGACTGAGTAAAAGCTTAAAATGGTTGTATCATCCAAGTTTAACCTCCTCGCTGATCTCCTTCAGGATGGATGGCTGCAGCTCCATGTGCTTGAATATGGTGCCCACTATTATACACTGTTCACCCATCTGCAGGTCACACAGCTTCCTGATGGGCACGACACAACCTGCCACACACACACATTCACTCATGTTCAGAAGCGCTTCAGGGGAATACACGAGCCTGTCAGTGAGTTCACAGATGTTTCTCACCCCACTTCTGCGTGGCTCTGTCCTTGAGGATGTTTCTCATCTGCATGAGTCTGGTGGCGTAGATGTGCGCGTACTGGCGGCTGAAGCTGCGCTCGCCGAGGCGGAACCGCTCCGAGCAGCCGCTGTATGAGGGCTGGTGACGGTCAAACACGCGCTCCTCGGAGCCTGGAGGAGACAGCAACGTCTCCTTCGGCACGATCACGTCTGAGAACATGACTGGAGAAAGGTTGTGGACGCTAGATTAGCAACTGAGCAGTTGTATGTGAATAAAATATAAATGCATTATAAGACAATGTATTAAAATCGATATAGAGCTGTCAAACAAGCATCTTGCTGTATGCTAACAGCACCGTGGCTTCACTTTACCTTATTCCTTGCGGTGTTGGTTTTCTACAGTATATTGTAAATCTAGTTTGATTCGATGATAAAGTAAATAAAAACAACAGAATCAGATAGATCTCGCCTGTGTTGATGTTTGGTATCTCCCGCGAAATACGTGACCTCTGACCTCTATGAAAATATGACGCGATCTCCGCTAAAATACGCTTTCATAATAAAAGCCACCGGAAATAAAGAATAATCTACGTTTATGTCTATGGTTTATGTACGGGACTGTTGCGTTTTTTGGACGTATTTACATTTTAAATATAAAATTTAATATTTCATGATTACTTCAGACCATTTTTATAATTAATGCCCACCAAAAATACTATAATTTAAAGTAATTGTCAGCATTTGCGAGGGAAAAAAAGACAGTATGACCAATAACATTACTTATTGAAATTTATTAGGTACATTATCCTAAGGTACATTTTTATGCGTTTAATATATATCCCACAAAATGTGATGTTTCAAAACTGAACTTCAAATTTGCAGATATTTATTTCACACAATCACTTCAATAAAAAGAAGTGCAACTAAAAACAGTCTACAAGCGGTTTGCTAGGAGACTACTGCCAATATTAAATGTGCTGTTATTTAATCATTCATGCATTGAATGTTACACACATTGGTACAACATCACAAGACACATTACTTTGCATTACAGTTTTTCTAAAGAGCACAGCACAAGTCCTGTGAAGTGTACAAATGTAGCAGGATTATAAGCACAATAATAAATGTGAAAGATTTGAAACAGAAAACATGAGCGATCTACTTCTTCCTTCCTCCTCTCTCCTTAAGGGCCAGATGGATGACGGAGCCATTGTTCATGTTGTAATATGCCAGAGAGTTGGAATCTTTGATGAAAATACCCTGGAGATTCAAACACAATATGAGATCTCGGTTTTCAAAGTAAATACTTTTATATTAGCATTCACCATTTATATAATAAATACATTTTAAGATTCAAATTAAATCGAAATATTTTACCTCATACTGCAGCTTCTGCTTTCCAGCCGGCATACCAGTGGCTTCATGGATCTTAACCTTGATGACAGATACCTGAGGCACATAATGGCAATAAATTAGCTCAGATTTTCATGTTTTACAGTGGTTAAAAATGAGTACAGATGGAGTTGGCACATATAGATACCGGACAGGCAAACTCTTTACCTGGTCTGTGAGAGGCAGGTTGAAGTTTAGCACTTGGCCACTCAGCTTCCATTCGGTCTTGTCCTGCATGTTGGGCACTTGCACTTTGACTGCAACAGGTCCCTAAAAGAGCAAAGATCAAATGAAAAAGATTAACAAATGACCGATGTAATAGTTATAAAATATTCATTGTTCCAACTAAGTGCACTCAGAGTATGTTGCAGCAGTGTTGTACCTTGGTCCTGCGCAGGAACTCCTCTTCTGGAATCAGGTTGTCCTCGGTCTTCATTTTCTTGCTGGAAGGCTCGTCCTCGTGAGGAGGTGGAGGATGAGCAGGAGGCATGGGGGCGGAAACAGAGCTGGGAGGTTGAGGCACAGGGGGAGCGGGTACAAAACCTGAAAGACAAAAACACTATTCACTACAACTAAATTATTATTAATATACTTGAAGGTACACTATGTAACTTTTGTCCAAAAGTAATGTAAATAATGAGTCAATAGATCAATCCTTCTTCCAAAATGAGTTTCCAATCCTGACAAAATAGGTACCCTGAAGCCTGTTATAAGGGTTTTACAGAGGTGAGTTTGCTGGCAAAATGGGAAGGCAACATTTGGCTTTTCGAAGATGGCAAAACATGGATTTGAAATGTTGTAAAAGCGATATGGAGATGGCATTTTTATCACTCAACAGGCGAGTAAGGTATTTTTATTGAACAGATAAATTTCCATCTGTAGCTCTCTAGCAGTTCATTGTAAAGAATGATCTATTGTGAAGGGTCATTTCATTATGTTTGTTGTAGCGTTGTGCTGGTGTTTATTTTTTTTAAAGGAAGTACCGTGTCTATTAATGGGTAAAGCTACAGTAACGTCTTCAGCTAGTCAGCTTGAGATCCTCTCCATCTAAACTGGTTACATCTCTTAACCCTTGTAGTGAATGTTTTATGAGCAGTAAAGGATAACATTATTCATCCGGACGCAGTCACAGAGCCGAAGCACAACCAAAACATGTTCTTCCCCAAAATGCATGCATTTAGAGGGCAAAAGTTACATAGTGTATTTTTAATATTATTTAATTATTATTAATAAATTATTATTTTCCAAGTAGTAATTGTTATTATTATTTCTATAATTTAATTATTAAAATTATTTATATATTACACTTAAACATAATACGTAAAAAAGCTTAATAAAAGTATTATTACTGATGTGAATTTCTTGTCTTTAAAGGTGCTCTAAGCGATGTCACGCGTTTTTTAGGCCAAAACATTTTTTGTCACATACAGCAAACATCTCCTCACTATCCACTGGCTGCCTGTCCCCTGAACACACTGTAAAGAAACGCGATCTCTGTAGACAGCCCAGGCTCCACAAACAGCAACAAAAGCAAACTGCGGCGACCCGCTCCCCGAAACATAACAAACTGTTCCAGCCAATGACCGACAAGAAGGGTTTGGGGGCGGGGTTTGGGGGGTTAGTGTGCGGATGAGGAGGAGGGAGGGTCTAGCTAGCCTCCGTTTTGTTTGACAATAGTTCGAACGTCAACAAGAAGTGATGTCACCCAGGATCGCTTAGAGAACCTTTAAATGACATTTTAGAAAAATGTACCAAGAAGCTACATAATAGTTATTTCAGTAACAGTAATTTCAAAGACTCACCAGCAGGGACCACCATAGGTGGAGGTCTGGGTGCCATAATATGGGGTCCTGAGGGTGGCATGGGCACCACATTGATGCGTGGGGCGTGGAGCATGGGTGGCATGGGAGCCAGAACTTGTCCAGGGCCCAGGCGCACCACAGGGGAAACTGGAGGTCTGGGTATGACTGGCACAGCAGGAAGCAAAGTGGTCCGTACTTGGGGTGCCATCTGGAATATACACAAGAGCCTTTGGTTAGGATTAGCTCTTATTTTTGTGTTCGACAATCACAGTGATCTTGGAAAACTCTTGAATGCAGAAACAGATTGAGACTCACAGGAGGTCTGGGCATGGTGTTGATTGGTGGGTTGGGTTTGGGCATGCTGGAGGCTGCTGATGACATGGGCGGCTGAGGCATCTCATTGGGCTTGCTCGGGCCGATCTTCTCCTTGGTGTCGTCCTCCTGCACCAGACCTTTAGCTTTGTGGATGGCTTCGATCTGCTCCTGCAGGGTGATGTTAGCCTGAGCCGCCTGCTGGGTACGAGCCATACTGCCTGAGTGACCGTCCCATGTGACCTGCGGAAAAAGTGGAAGTGGTTTTAGTTGAACACTACTACCTTCTGGTATACTTGTGATTCTCTGCAGTCAAAACAGAGAGAAGGCAATAATCATGACTGTACTGTTTCAGTAATATTTATTTTTTAATATTTTGAGGGGATTTCTGGGTAGTAGACAATATTCACCTCTAAATTACATAATTTATTTCTGAACAAAATACAAACAGATAAATAATATGTTTATTACAAGTGTGAATATTTTTAAAGACTATTTAGTAGGGGTGGGAATATTTTGGTACCTCACAATTTGATTAGAATCAATTTTGAATCAAATTTCGGTTCGATATGTGTTATTTTGATTGTGTATATATATATATATATGTATAATTTTGTGTTACTTTTCTTATTTGACTAGGGTAGACAGTTCTCTTAGGTCTAGAAGAAAAAAAATCCTACTGAATTAAATGTGAACCATGAAATTTAGTTTTTCTTCCCATTTTAGTCAACCCAATATAAAAAAAAAACAGATTTATGAGGCTGCTGTCCCTTTAAGAATGAATGCACGGATATAGTTACACATCCGCATTGAGTCCTAGTTCGTGGCTTATTGTGAATAACATCAATAACTTTCACTAACTTAAATCAGTACTGCTTAACACTTTAGAAAATTGATTTTTGAAATTTGTGAATCGATGCAAATCAGTAGAAGAATCGTGATTTATATATGATTAGATTTTTTCCTGCACCCCTACTATTTAATCCTTTCTAAAGCCCAAAGTATACTTATAGCGCCCGCATGACAATTTTTGGTGCACAGCACAAACAACAGCGCATGCACAAGGTGAATGTTGAGAAAGAAGAATCCACTAGGTGTTAATACACAGTTGTATTGTGCAGTCTTTCTTACCTTCTCCTCAGGCTTCTGTATCTCCTCCTCTCCGATCTTCTTACCGATGGCCGTTTCTTCCACACCAAAGATATCGGTACGTCTCTCGGCCAGCTGCTTCAGGCTGCTCTCGATGTCCAGGCCGGGAGCGTACACCTCCTCCTCGATCCGACGCTCTCGGATGTTGCGGTCACGCTCCTCCAGCCAGCGGGGATCCAGAAGGCCGATGCGCATGTGCTCCTGCATCTTACTGGCTGGGATCTTCTCACCCGTGATGGGGGAGATGAGGTACTCGTCAGAGGAGACCATGGGGAGCAGGGACTTAGAGGCTGAAGAGAAGATGAGATGGGAAGTGAGTGGATGCAAAGAAATGTGTGCCATTTTAGAACGATAAAGTTTGTTTTATAAATGCGCTTACCCTTGGGGTCGTAGTCTTTGCGAATGATAACCTGGTCTGGGGTGGGGGGCAGAGGTGGTGGCATGGGGTTATCAGGGGGTAGAGGAGCTTTCATGCCATCATCCTCTTCATCAGAGCCCTATTGAGAGGAACAACAGATGCTAATCAGTCAGAGTAATAGTTAACCCAGTTCTACAAACTCATCATCTATGGCATTATGTGAACATAATCCTGGTTGTCTCTCACCTCGTCCATGTCCTGCAGCTGTGTGTCCTGGTCCAGCTGAGCTGCGTGTCTGTCCTCCCTGCCCCCTCTCTCATCCTCTTCATCTTCACTCTCTACCTCCATCTCCACCTCTTCACTCTCTCCAAATTTCTCATAGCGCTCCTGGATCAGGATACGAGCGCCCAGCTCCTCAGGAGTAGTGGGAGGAGGGAAATTACCTGTAAAAAAGTATTAATAATGATGATGATAATAAAAAAAATAACATGAATATAATAATAATCATTAATAACAAATATTATGAACTTTCAATTTAACATAAATCATGTAATTGTCTAATTAAACCACATCTGAGATTGAAGATATGTCTTGCTATTACCAAAATCAAGAGTATTCTTCTGATACAATAGTATGCTTGCGCAGACAAACATAGTCAAATATCTAAAATAATGCTAATTGTTGTCAACTAAACATGCTCACCTTGTTCATTTGGTTGGAAGTCCACCGTCTCCACGACCACAAAGTCATGCCAGTCAATCTGAGCATAAGCCACCCTCTCCTTCTCTCGCTCCTCCTCTTCCTTCTTCCTCTCTCGTTCCTGGAATTTGGCCCACTCCACGCGATATCTGACCTAAAATAATGGGGAAAGATGTGATATTACAGGTCAATCTGATATGTCCTTCCCTTTTGAGATCTTACAAGTTTCAAAGCTCAGATTGATTCAACTTTATTGAAACGGGACTAACTGAATTTCACGAACAACCACCTGTATGACATGTAGTATTTCACAACCTCAGTTGTACTCTCAGATTCACCATAAATTCCCTAATGTGGTTTTAAATCACCGGGATCCCCTCAGTTATCCATTTTCCACCAGAATGGTTCGCATTCTGGAGCCAGAACCTGTTCTCGGCCAGTCAAACTGGAGCCTGTCGTGAACCGTGCACGTGTTTCCACAGACTTGAGAAACAAACGGTGACGTAACGCTGCTACATGTTGTTTACCTGACTATAACCAGTCTAAAACTTAAACGGTGCACATTCCAGTGTTTGTGCAGACAGTGGAGGACATCTGTTTTGTGGGAGTGATTTTAGCAAAACAGCAGCTCACATAAACTCCTGGTTTTCTCATCCGGAGATATATTGACATAAAACTGTTGATTCCCTCACTCTCTCGTACACTCATTTTTATATATTTAGATATATCAATGAGGGAAGTACCGCTACCTGCCTCCATTCCAGACCAGAATGTTTTTAGGGAGCTGAACCAAACCACATTTTCTGCAGTGGAAATGCACGGAACATTGAGAACGGTCACAAGTGGGAACCCGCACCGGAACCATGTGACCTGGAATGTCTGTAATAATTACCTGGTCCAAGACCTCACGAGAATTCTCTGCTTCCTTCTTCAGTTTCAGCAAAAGACCTTTTGGAGGGATTAAAACCTGCAAGAAGCCAATCAATTAAGTGAATTTAATGTCACACTTGAATAACTTTATGATTCCCAAAAAACTCTGCTTTTATTAGCCACCTCAATCTTATTCGTCTTAAATATTGCTGTCATACCTTTGTGTACTGTTCCACCAGTTTTGTAAAGTAGTTGAACAAGCTGTGCTGTGGTCGCAGGAAGTCAAACTGGTAGTTCCTCTGCTCCTTCTGCATCAGCTGCGTGAGAAACTGACGGCCATTTCGGGCGACGAACTGTGCGGTCAGCTTCACCACATCCAGGTCAAAGGCTGAGATGGAGGGAGGGTCGGCAATGAACTCAAACTCAGGTGGAGGCTCCTTGGGCACCACCGTCTCATGGATCACCTGCGCTTGAACCTAAAGGACCACAAACTCTTCATAAAATATCCAGCTATGAAAGACTTTCAAATCAGACCTCTTAGATTATGACTTGACTGGTTTTATTTCAATTACTGGTATGTGTTGTATAAAGTCAATGACAGGATCCTGACCTTCTGAGGAAGCTGCTGTGATGCTTGCTGTTGCATGACTTTAGGCACCGCCGCAGACGGTTCCTGAGCTTTACCCTCCTTGAACTCGTTGACCTTGTGGCGGTAGTAAGCATGGTAAGGGTCGTTGGGGTTGAGGAAGTTGAATTTTGGGTTGTTGATTTCATTCTGTCGAATCCTGGCCTCGAACTCAGGTCCATTCCTTCGAAAAAATAAAAAGTGGTTAATTATTGATTTAACAAATGTACAATATTGAACCTTGATATGATATGATGTCATGACTTGTTATGATATGATTTCAAACCTGGCCACGAAGCTGGCAGTCTTGTCAACAATGTTCCGGACTTCAGGAGGCGGATAGATGATTCCAACAATGGGCTTTGTGGCTGGAGTCTCTTCTTTCTGCTCCTCGGGCTGTTATTAAAACATTTCACAATTTAACTGATCTGATCCATTAACACTTTAGTTGCAAAGACTGCCTCACAAGCCAAATATTTAGATTATCGGCATTCTGTAGCTTAATCTGCCCAAAAAGAGTCAATTTAGTTAAACAGTAACATATGTACACATTTTAAATATTTTTGCATTAGACGTGATGAATTACGTATGCTATAATTAATTGAATTACTTAATGCAATATTAGCCGAACTATACAAAAGGAAAATATATTATTATGAAAGTTATGACTTGACTCAACCAGTGGTAATATAGTAATGGGAAGTCGATTCATTCGCCTGGCCTAGTCAAACTTTCAGTGCATCTGAAATCGCATACTTCCCTAATGTAGTAAGTGAAAAACAGTATGTGACAAAAAATTCTGTTCGAATTCACAATATTTGAGTAGGCAAAAGTACCCAGAAGACCTACTAACGTTATTTCTGGCGAGATTCTGAAGTGTGCATTCGATGGACAGTTTACTATCCCATGAGGCCACAGGAGAGAATTTGTGAATGGCACACTTCAGGATCTCGCAGAAAGTCTTAGGTCACCTTTTGCCTTCTCTTTTATGAGCACTGTGAAATTGGACATAGCCTTCTTTTGTCACATACTGTTTTTCCATGATAGCAGTACGTCCAAATTACATTCATACTTGTATATATATATATATATATATATATAAATATTACATATCATACTATAATCATACTGTACTTTTTTTAGCGGTCGTGAAGTAATTACTTATTTAAAATACGTATCTAACTTAGCTGCTACTCAAGAGAGTAACTTATGCTATTTCAGACGCAGCCATAATGCACAACACATGCGATACTTATGTCTATAAACATGTTTATAAAGAGAACTATGTTAGTAAGTGAATATAAAGCAGATTAATCTACTCTGTACTGTATCTTAACGAAATAAATCATAGGTTTATACCTTGTTATTTAACGTTAGCTCCGGCTGCATGATCTGCACAGGCCCAGGCGGCATGACTGCGACACTACAGGCTCTTCTCTTGCCGAATCAAGTACGCTGAGGAAAAATAAACAGTTATTGTCAGTCTACGCGTGATTTGTTTGAAAAAGTCAACATACAGCCCTTAAAAAAACTTAAGTATTATAATTTCTATGTACATTTTCATATAACTTCACTAACCTCTGGTTGCGCCAAACGCCACACAACAGAAGACGACAAATGAACGACTACTTCCGGTACTAGCAAGGCCAAGGGGGGTTGTGGGAAATGTAGTTCAAGTGGAATGATTCCGCCTACATGAGACCATGGAAACCTGGTGTGTATAGACCTAATGCACATGTTCTTGTTACAAAACTAAAACGATTAAAGAAGAAACGCATATTTTGGCCTGTTAAACAATGACTCATCTGTTAGGCCGTCAGGACTGTATCGACAGTCTTCGGAGAGATCTTATTGATTTACAGGGAGCGGTGCTGGATGTTTTTTCTAAGACTGGACCCGTCCGTTTCCCTTCATGGAAGTTTCCCGATAAACTGTCATGTAATCTGGATTTGGCCAGTCTTTTAGAAGAATATGATTATGTGGATGGTGAGGAGGAATTCAGTCAGCACTCCCACATAGTCCTGCTAGAGTTGCTGATGGACAGGTAACGTTAGCTAGTCAACTTGTTGTGAATTGTGTAGTTAAAAATCATAAGTAATATGCTGATTTGGTGCAGCTGCTTAATATTTGTGTGGGAACCGTCTTTTTTTCGCACATATAAAATCATTATGTACATTTGTGTGTTTGTCCCAGATTAATGCTTCTTCTTCAGAGTTTCAACGTTCATACAGAGCTGTTGCTTGAGAATCCGAGAGCTTTTTCATCTGGTCAAAATGAATCCTCTGTTTCCATCGGTCCTGTGGTCAAACGCTTCTGGAACAACCTACTTCAGCTCAGCAATACACAAACACAACAGGTAAGAAACCTCTTGATTAAGACAAAACACACACAAAACTTGGTGAAGACCTATCAACAATGACCCTTGCTTATAAACTAAATCATTAAACTGTGTGATCAATTGTATTTCACTGAAAACAATCAGTTAATTTGCAACCTAAAACATTTACTAAATGTCTCTTCTTTCAGAGCACCAGTGAACAGCAACCTCCACCTCAAAGGAGTTCATTCACTACCAGAACAGCAGCAAACTCACCTACTATTAATACGCACAAAACACAGAGCATCTCCATTGCAAGTACCCATAAAACCACCTCAACTACGCCTGATTCCTCTTCCCACCACGGAAGAGCGTCCGCCGCAGGCTCGTGTGTGTCTCGGTCCGCTCACACTGTGAGCTGTCAGACGGTAGAGTTGGCCCTGGTGCCCTGTGAGAACTGTGCTTGTGTTCAGACGGTGATGAAGGAGAGCAGTGATGCTCTAGTGTCTCTGTGCCGGTCTCTGGGTTTGCCTTGCTCCATGCAGGGCTTCCTGGAAGCTGTGGAGGAAACACAGCAGCTGGGCCGCTTGTCTGCATGTGACATTTCCCAATGGGCAAGTGAGCAGCGTAAGGATATGAGCCGTGTTGGGAAACATGTTCTGGAGGTGAGGGTCGGAGTGGTTTTGTTGTGTTTGTTGTGGATATTCAGACTTTTGTCATTTAATCCTGATGACACTACAATCAAAGGTTTGGAATATTACAATAGTTTTTTGAAAGAAGTCTTAGTTTTATGCTCACCTAGACTGTATTTATTTGACCAAACACAGTAATATTGTTAAACATTATTATAATTTAATATAGCTGTTTTCTTTTTAAATATATATTAAAATGTAATTTATTCCTGTGATGGTAAAGCTGAATTCTTCTCAGCATCATTACTCCAGTCTTCAGTGTCACATGATCATTCAGAAATCATTCTAATATGCTGATATGGTGATCAATTATTATTATTTCAACTGAAAAATCTAATTATTCCAAACTTTTGACCGGTAGTGTATTTCCTCATTTGATTTTTATAACTATTCTTTTTCAATTGGAGGTGAGAGAAACTGTTGAGCCACTGAAAAAGAAGCTGAAAGAGACAGAGATGGAGCGAGAGAAGCTGAGAAAACAGCTAGCAGAGATGGTCAGAAGAGAGAAGGAGGAGAGGAGGAAGATGGAGGAGGAGTGTGAGCGCAGAATGCAGGAGGTGAAGGTCAAGGGAGAGGAAGCAGTCAGGAGGTTAAAGGAGGAGCAGGAGGAGTTAAAGAGAGGTGAGTTTTTTTTAAGACCCTTAACTCACATCTGAAACTCACATCTGAAATTATATAAAGTTTAATGCAGTTCATGTTCACAATCATTTTCTTTCACAGGTGTGACGTTATTAGAGGCCAAATATTCTGAACTCACAGCAGAACTGAATTTGCAGACAGAAGCAAAACAAAGTCTTGGTAAGCAGGACATCATTATAAAACTACTGGCCAGTTGTTTCTACTACCACTACTGTCCACAAAAATGGAATTGTAATAAAATCCTTAAAAATCTTTTCTTTTCTGTTTTTCCCCCTTTATTTTTGAGCTTTTCAAAATGATCAATACAATGATTTATGTTTCTCTTACCTATTAGTAAATATATGGAATAATACAGGACAGGAGTTTTCAAAGGTTTTGATGTTAAGGACCCCCTTCTTAAAATGCAATGACAACTACCGGTATTTAATAAATATACTTATTTTTATATATACTGTATATATACACTCACCGGCCACTTTATTAGGTACAACACAAATATCTCATTAGCAATCACATGGCAGCAATTCAATGCATTCAGGGGCCGTTTACACGACAATGTTTTCAACTAAAAACGGAAAACGTTTTATTAATTTTGGCCATTCATTTACACAACAGCAGGTTTTGGGGGCCAAAAACTAACTTTTGAAAATGGGTTTCAAAGTATTTTAATGTGATACCGCTATCATCTCCGTGTAAACTACAAAAACGTGAATTTGTGAAAACGAATCAGTCTAAGTTCTAACTGAGCATCAGAATGGGCAGGAAAGCTGATTTAAATAACTTTGAACGTGGCACTGTTGTTGGTGGAGTATTTCAGAAACTGCTGATTTACTGGGATTTTTACACACAACCATCTCTAGGGTTTACAGAGAACGGTCCGAAAAAGATCAAATATCCAGTGAGCAGCAGTACTGTGGGCAAAAATGCCTGGTTGATGCCAGAGGTCAGAGGAGAATGGCCCGACTGGTTTGAGTTAAAAGAAAGAAAACAGTAACACACTGTGCTGGAACGGGAGATTCGCATCATGGATGTGCAGCCGGCAGATCCGCAGCAACTGTGTGATGTTATCATGTCAATATGGACTAAAATCTCTGAGGAACCACCAGCACCTTGTTGAATCTGTAGCATGAAGAATTCAGGCAGTTCTGAAGGCAACACGGGGTCCAACCCGATACTAGCAAGGTGTGCCTAATAAAGTGGCTTGTAAATGTGCATTTTCAGCATTAAATAATCAAGAAAAAATCCAACTATTAAAGTGATGTATAAACCTGAAGAAGAACATTTAATTTTAATTTAATTCAAATGATTTGCTCTATTTAAAATAAATATGTAAAATCAGCTTTAAACATATATTGCCTTACAACTCAGTGAGCAAGGAGGAACTTAATACAAACTGTTATTTAAAATATGTACGTCATAAGAAAGGATAGATAACCTATAACAAATGTTTAAAGCATAGTTTAAAACTATGACTGTCAATAGAATAAAATATAATAATCGTGATTAATCTAGAAAATAATAAAACATCTAATTCTATAAATGTGTTAAAAAAATATTTCATTAAACAATTTTAATATCTTGTTCTTGACAGCCCTAATAAATACTTGTAGAATATTGTATTGTTGTAGAATTTTCTCTCATTTTGGGAATTATGTGCCAAAGGCCTACAAGATGGATTTTGGGATGATATAAGGAATGGGTTACTCTTTTTTCTATAGAATGTGAGAGGGCAGCACTACAGGAGCAAGTTCATCATCTGCATAATTCACTAGAGAACATGTTAAAAGAGGTGGAGGAGAGCAGGACAAACCTGGAGAAGGAGCTCAGATGTACACAGACACGGTTAGACAAAGAAAGCGCCAAAAACCACAGTGTGCAACGCCAGCATGAGGTGTGTCAGTGTGATTACTGTGATAAATATCATAATATTTAAATCAACAAGAACAACTTTAACAATGTCCATAACATGATATTTAATGAGGAAAACAGTGTTGAGCTGTCATCTAATTCGATCATGAAACACTGTGTGCACAGGCTCTTCAGGTGAAGCAGACAGCTCTCCGGAAGCATCTGGATGTGCTGGTTCAGCAGACTGAGGATCTACATAACAGTCTGGAAGAATGTGAGGATGAAAAAGCTGATCTCACCAACAAACTCGCAGAGATCGTACAAGAAAAAGACACACTTCAGGAGCAACTCACACAGCTGCAGGTAAACATCTAAAGTAACATATTTGGCATGACTGAATCAGCCTGACTACATTAGGTCACACCAATTAAATAAGAGTTTCTTTCTCTGCAGTCCCGGTGTAGTTCACTGTGTATTGAGAAGCAAAGGCAGCAGACACAAATCACAGAACTGGAGGAGAGGATGTCTCGTCTGACAGAGATGCTGGAAGAAGCTGCTCAGAGAGAGCGGATACTGGTGGCCTTTCCGGAGCTGAGTCCACAAGCAGCACCACAGAGTGAGTAACTCTGCCCACGCCTGCCTCTTAAAGTTCACATGAAACACAAGTTGCAATAGGACCAGAATTTATTCAGAAGGCAGTGGATATTTATACTCAGTGTAAAAATGTAGGTGCTATTTACAGTAAGAGCAATTAGTGGTAGTTACTTTTACATTTAATCATTTAACAGACACTTTTATCCAAAGCTACGTACAAATGAGTTTTTATATATATATTAATAGCATTTTTAATAGCATTAATAGCAAATATAGCATGTTTAAACTAGCAAATAGTGCTTGATGCTATTTACACAATCTATAAAAACAAGTATTATGCTATTTGTTCTAAAGGTCAAAAATCTGAATAGAGTGTGATCAGTGTGGTCAACAGAGCAAGTGAAAATAGCCTTTGCCAATAGTCAAAGTAGACACTGCCCTATTTTTAAATAACAGAATGACATTTGTAAGTCCATTTTCCTGCAATTTGGTTTAACGGGTTCCTGGAAGTAAAAATTTCATCAGTTCTCTCTAAAGGGAACTATTTTTAATGATAACGTATTACCCTTTAAGAAAGAAATCTTCATTAATCAGAGAAATGCAACAAGTACATTGCGCCTATAGAACCGCTCTCTCCCATGCACTGCAAATGATGTAACAGAGTTTGTCTCCCTATGTACTCAATATTTGTGTGTGTGTGTGTGTGTTTTGTGTGTACCTGGCATTCCATGTGTTATGGGGACCTAATGTCCCCACAAGGACACTTTTTTTGGTCCTCATGAGGAAAGCAGCTTATAAATCATATTAAATGTGATTTCATTTTTTAATTTTTTTTGAAGTGATTTCATCATAGATTTTTGAAAATCTAGAAATGCAGACAGTTTTCTGTGATGGGTAGGTTTAGGGTATATATATATATATACTGGACAATGAGCGTTGTCCTCTGACGCAAATAAATCGACTAAACCGAAAAGGCGCCATATCAACTGGACTGTTTGGGGGTGTAGAGACCACTCCCCCGGGGGGGATATTGTCCCTGGACAGCCTGTCCGGGCCATCGTTCAGGATCCCTGGCACATGCGTCGCTCTCAGCGAGCGCAGGAAGCACTGGGCCCAAACAAGGAGGCGTTCCGTCAGATCGCAGAGGCTCCTGGATCTGACACCGCCCTGACGGTTCACGTAGGACACAACGGACGTGTTGTCCGAGCGGACTAGAATGTTTTGGTCCTGTATGAACGGGAGGAAGCGCTTCAGTACGTTCTCGCCTGCCAGCATCTCCAGACAGTTTATGTGAAGGCGTTTCTCTCGGTCTGACCACAGGCCAAAGACCGCTCTGCCCTCGAAAAGGCCGGCCCAACCTGAGTTGGTGGCGTCTGTCGAGATGACCTTTCGGTGCGAAATCACTCCCATAGTCACCCCCTGCTGGTACCAATCGGCCGCTAACCAGGGCTGCAGAGCTGAAATGCAGCTGTTTCATATATGACGCCCCGGTTACCTTGAACGGGGAACGTTTTCTGAGAGCTTTGTAGCGAGTGAGCGGAGAAGGAGAGAGAAATGCTCGAGGGAGTCGTTCCGGCGAGCGTTTGAGTGCCACATCAGGCTCCGGCAGTCTCTGTGCACGGCGCTTTTTCTTGCGTGGTCCAGCAGATGGCGGAGTGACAGCTTTGGCGTTAAGAGGTCTAGACGAGCCCGCAGGGTCGACATAGATAGCTCCTCACAGTGGATGCAGCCTCCCGACGAAGTGCGAGGGCTGCGTGGTCTGGGCCCAGGCAGAGAGCGCAAATCACATGGCGGTCTCCGACGCTGAGCGGGGCTCGGCATGAGCCACAGGAAATGCAAGACATTCTGAAAAGAACGCCCGCGCTCTTTTAGAGAGATGTGTGTGTCGCAGCGAGCGCCGTGCTTTTATACGCTAAGCCACACCCACTTGAGCGGGCTGTGGCGCATAGTGGGCGCGAAGCGCCACCATTGGGCGTGACGTCACGCCAGGCTCAGTGGTAGGCTGCTGCAGTTGCCGCAGAGCAGCCAATGAGTGTGCTAGACAGCCTGCTCTAGGTCTGCCAGCTGCTGCACTGCGTCGACAAAGTTTACAAAATTAAGGATAATTTTTGGCTTCAGTATCTCGAGAAAAGATGACTTTACCCGTAGCGTAAGCTAAACTTACGCAATACGAGAGAACCTCTTCTAAGAGAACCTTTATTTTGTGGAAAACACAGTGATCAAAATTAGAGAACAATAACCATTGCAGCACAAAAGAAAGCATTACAACAAAAATTTGAGGCTTACAGCAGTCAAAAATTAGTAGGAAGTGTAGAGGCCCTTGCCTTGAATGACCTGAGCACATCTGCAGCCACAGGACATCACTAGATTCTCACACTGCTCTGGTGTGATCTTGGTCCACTCTTCTTCCAGTCTCTTCCACAGGTCGGTAACTGTAGTGGGTTTCTTAGCCATAACTTTGTCGCCAAGGATTTTCCAATGATTTTCAATCGGGTTTAGATCAGGACGGGGGGAATTGTCTTGGAAGAAAATTGCGGGCTGATTGGGGGCTGCTTGCAGGGAAGGAACCACATGTTGCCGAAGGAGGTTCTGATAAACATTTGCATTCACCCTGCCATGTCGCTGTGTTTTCCACAAAAAAAAGGTTTTTGTTGAAGTACCTTGGTTATTTTGTAAAAAAAAATGCTAGTAGAACAATGGTATACCCACACCGGATATTCCTTAAAATTTCAACCAATGAAGATTAACAATATTTCTGAAAATTATCAAGTGTTTCTTAATTGTTCTCTAATTTTGATCTCTACTATATACCCGTATAAATATATATATATATATATCTCAACAGCTATAATCAAAATAGTTAAAGCCATTAATTACACAATCTTGTAACTTTGTCTTTTTGTAAGGTTGAATCTATGGCACAAAATATACACTGACCAGTGAGGCCTGATTCAGAAAGAAAAGAAGAACTTATGAGCGATTTGTTTAGTGAATCATGAACCATGCGAAAGGTCAAAGCATGACCATTGTGCCCCAATTCCCCAAAGAAAGACTCCAGTGAGTCGGCTATTTTTAGTGAATCAAAACAGTAGTAACAAATGTAGTCTGATTTGTGAATGTACTTTGCAACACTTATAGCTTACATTATTAAAAACATATAGCTTACAACTTGTGTTATGTTTAGGCCTATGGAGGTGCATGTTTGTCAGAAGTATTTTATAAAAATAAAAGAATGAATGAAATATGTTATCATATTTGAATATTGTTATTTGATACATAATTAAGGCCAATTTTTAGATCACATTTATGTTTCATAACAACCCCTGTTGTTAAATTGTGTATGATTCCCAGCCCTACCTGCCACTTACAACCGGTTCTCTGTGTGTGTCACAGCTACAGGTGATGTGATGTGTGATATGGAGCAGCAGCTGAAGGCAAATGCAGTGAGGATCAGGGTTCTGCAGCAGGAGAACGTCTCCCTGAGCAACAGTCTAGACAGACTGAAGGACAGAGAGGAAAAACAAAGATCTTCAGACTCTGGGATAGTAGAGATGGACAGGAGCAGAGAAGCTGCAGCAATGGGACCCTTGGAGAGCTCTAGCAACTCCTCACCCACCTCCCCTTCATCCATTCTTCATCATCAAACTCTCTGCCTCTCTCTCCATCAAGATGTGGAAGAAAGATACAAGAACATTCGTCAGGCTGCTCGCATCCGGTCTGCAGGCACACGTCGCAGGAGGAAGTGATGTCACTTAATAGACTGAGACTGGTCTGGAGACTGGGATATTAATGTGACTTTTGTGTTGTTCATTTGTATGACATTGAAATTGCAATGTACATTTGGCATTTTACGAATGTTGCACAATGAACAACACGCAACAGGGAATGTTGTATGAACTGGATCTTCAAATCCATGCTCTTCAGCAACTGGGTTGGAAAAATATTGTTGTTGGTTAATATTTCAACCCAAAAAGATGCTAAAAGATTCTAGCTGACTTTATCAAAATGAAATTATTTAGGTTTTGTCAGTATCATCACTGTTTGTGAACACACACACACACGGGTTCCCTCTGCAAAAAATTGGTGAAGTAAATTGATAAATTGATTCCTTTCCTAGTAATTCCCTCCTGATCATTTTTGTCTCTTTTCTTAAAAAAACACATTATGGTCACCGCCGTACTACTAAAAGGTGAATATTGATAAAAACGAAAGTAAAAATCATTTTGTTCGTCTTGCGTCATATTTTCCGTGCTGTGTTTGATTGGGTCGCGCCTCGCACGCTTTTTCTCTATTTGAATGGCCCAATCCCAAATGGCACACTTCATGTGCACTTTCGGTCTTGTGGACTTACAATGGCTGCCGCGTGCGCGTGTCCGTTAAGTCCGTGAGACCGCAGTGTGTCCCATTTGTCATTTTTAGATCTCAGAAGGGTGCTCGCGAGCGCCCCCTCTGCGGTCGATTTGCGCCCTTGATGCGCAGTTGCGCACTTTTGCCGAGCCCGCGCTGATGCGGACTCCACAGCAGACTTCTTCCCGACATCCAAAGCGGCGTTACGTCGCGAAAGTGCGGACTCAGAGGAAGACCGCGAGTGCTTAGGGTTCCATTTGGGACAGGGCCAATCTAGTAAAAGTATCAATGTAGATAAGAGGAGGGGAGCAGAGCCATAGAGAGAAAGAGTTGCGACACGGTTTGATGTCGCCGCGACGGCTGTCACGTGGTTCATGTAAGCCCCATTAGTTCCAAAACACACGCGGGCTGTCATGTTCTTCAATGGACAGACAGCAGCGATTGCATCATTAAAGGGATACTCCACTTTTTTTGGAAATAGGCTCATTTTACAACTCCCCCAGAGTTAAACTGTTGAGTTTTACCGTTTTCGAATCCATTCAGCCGATCTCCGGGTCTGACGGTACCACTTTTAGCATAGCTTAGGATAGATCATTGAAGTGGACAAGACCATTAGCATCTCTCTCAAAAAAATGACTAAAGAGTTTCGATATTTTTCCTATTTAAAACTTGACTCTTCTGTAGTTACATCGTGCACTAAGACCGACGGAAAATGTAAAGTTGCGATTTTCTAGGCTGATATGGCTAGGAACTATTCTCTCATTCCTGCGTAATAATCAAGAAACTTTACTGCCGTACCATGAGTGCAGCAGGCGTAATGATATTATGCAGCGCAAACACAAACTTATATGGTCACACAGGAAGTAACCTAGCTGGGGACTATTTTCAGGCACTGCGTTATATCATTGCGCCTGCTGCAGACATGGTACGGCAGCAAAGTTTCTTGATTATTACGCAGGAATGAGAGAATAGTTCCTAGCCATATCAGCCTAGAAAATCGCAACTTTACATTTTCCGTCGGTCTTAGTGCACGATGTAATTACAGAAGAGTCAAATTTTAAATAGGAAAAATATTGAAACTCTTTAGTCATTTTTTTTAATAAAAAGCCTTTTTAATGAACATAAATGTTTAATAATCTAGCCTACACGAAAGTTAATGAAATGTTTAGTGAAATTAGAAAATATTTAAGAGATCGTTAATTTAGTTGTATATCCATGTTCCCATATAGGCAACTATATTTTGTTCTAATGTCACAAGTAATAATCTCAGGGTTTACTCTGTTTTACACGATCATTTACATAGTAGGCTAGCATATAGCCTAGAATAGATGAACAAGAGGCGAAACTCTGATGCTTTTTTGGTAACAGCCACTAGGTGGCGCCTCGGTAGCGCGGCCGCCATTTTGGGGTGAAAATTCCAACTGGAGTTACTCATAGACAGTAAAAGAAATAGACACAGCGACCCTATAGACTTGCCCGTCTACGGCTTATCTAACCATATTAGACATTCTCTGCTTCAACGGAGAAAAGTGAAGTCAATTAGAAGCACTCACTTCCTGATACAAGCGAACTTTTTTTATTTATTTTTATTAAGCCAAGCGAACTGCGCAGGCACAAACTGAGCTGGATGACGTAGATGTGACGTGGGCAACCTGTCTCACAGTTGTACGTCTTCTAGTAGTTGTGCCAAGAGGAATCTGTATCATTCCCTTCCGAATCTTGCAGAGCCGGAGATGGTGAGTATTAGACATAGTACTAACCCTATGTCCATGAGCTAGCAGCAGGAGCAACTTTATGACTCTCTATGGGCTTCTCCCTTGACTTTATCGGACTTTATGCCTCCACGTCCCCCCGATTGCACCTTATTCCTACGCCCCATGATGCTTTGCGCGAATTATGGGTGTAACTTCCGTTAAACTGTAAACAATCAGTGAAAGGCTCGCTCTATGAACGCAATACGATAATGACAATAATGTCACAATGAGATGACATTAATCGACTCACCCTTTAACCATCGAACATTAAAATGAAATTTAAAAGTTTAAAAGAATCAACAAGGTACTTTCAACAAACCAAAAATAGCCCCAAAAGTAAGTTAGGCAAATATATTGTATAACAAGCCTTAATCAAAAATGTTCATTAACTTCAGCATTACGTGACACTATATCAAAGTGATTTCCGTCATTTTGACAGATTATAAATTGCATTTACCTGTGAAAACAAACCTGGAAAGAGACGTGAGGATTTGAGGAGAATAACGAGATTCTTCGTGCATTCCAGTGAATCGTAAATTAAATTCGGGAGAACAGACCACAAATGTGCCGTATATGTTGTCCTTTTTCATACTTTTACAGCGGATTGCAAAGGAAAAAATAAAAATCATGAGGAAAAGAAAGCAGCGACTGAAAAGAGCTCTTGCCATAGATATTCTTAAATAACATGTCACGTTAAAATGCCAAGTATAACGTTATTCTCATGATGTCTGAAAATAAATCATGAAGGAAAATTGACAGCTCATCCAGTCAAACTGAAGGATCAGCTTTATTTGTAGGGCAACCTTATGATTTGAAATGATTCGTTTCAGCCTTTTTGAATGGAAGTTCCCCAAACCGGAAGTGCCACCCATAATTCAAAACGCAGTAAGGTCGTCAGGAATAAGGTGGATACGGTAATTTCTCTACTGCGCGACAGAGAGTAGCTTGTTATGACGCAATCGTTAGCCTATTTTTACAAAAACTGCTTCTACGGGACCATAACGTAAGATACAAGGTAATGGAGGCTTTTATACATTGTCGTGTTTCTTTAGAAATAAACAATGGACAGATTGAGTCTTTAAACGCCTCAGATGTAAAGTTATTCGCTGTCAAAGTGATGCCAAAATGAATGGGAGTCAATGGAATGCTAACAGCAGGTGAAGGCTTGTAGCCAATGGCGGCCCCCGGGGAGACTTCAGTTTCTGGGGGATGGATTACCCCCTGGGAGTTACTGGACAACAGCACAGTTACAGACACAGACAGAATGACAACGAAAGATTTTTTTTTTTTTTTTTTTTTTTGCTTGCTTTATCGAGTTTTTCCATTTTATGCAACTTTACACATTTACTAGCCTACAGTTACTAAATACACTAGGTCTGAAATTTATAGTGTAGGCTACGTTTTAATCCCCTGGATTATCCTACTCTACAAACATGATGATCTTATAAAACATGATGCATTGCTGTGTCTTTTATCCTATAACTGCCACTTTTGGACAGTGGCTGTGTTTTTTTGTTTACATTGCTTTAACGGTCATTAATATAAGACAGTTTACTGTAAAGCTGTTGTATTGCTGTTATATTATGCCTATTTATTTTATTCCCAATTATCTGATGAATGTCCTTCATTTAATTTAATATGTTGGTATTAATTCAGTGTTTATAGTGCTAATACTTGACCTTCAAAGTCTGTAAGTCTGTGAAATAAACTTGATTGAAAAAGTCCCTTTCGCACTTTAGTGGTGCGTCGCCCTATCGCCCTAATGAAGAAACTGCCCCTGAGTTATTTTACCAACATTACATATATGCTCAAATACAATTCATGTAAGCATTATTGATGCATTTTTTAATTTTCATTATTACTTTAATTATTAAAGTTACAAAAAATAAAAGTTCAGTATAAGGAGACTGTATGAAAGATGTGGCACAAAGAGAATACATCAGTGATCCAAGGAGGTCTTCTTTCACTCTTTCAGTCGGCATCAGGTAACATTAGACTTACTGTAGTCAGTTTGGTACCAGGATCCTCCCTGACAATGTACAAATAACAATTTATTGACAAGCTAGAGAAATGTACAGACATGGATTGATATTATCAGGAATTTTCAACTCTGGTCCTCAAGGTCCTGCAGTGTTTGGTTTGATCAAACCTTGATCATATTCACGTCTGTAGCTTCTAGAAATCCTTAAGACCTTTATTAGCTTGTTCAGCTTTCCTGTAGTTAACGCTTACAACGCTAAGGTCATGGGTTCAATTCCCAGGGAAAGCAAGAACTGATAAGGAATCAGGATATAAATGTGTACATTGAAATGCAATGTAAGTCGCTTTGGATAAAAGTGTCTGCCAAATGCATAAATGTAAACTGGAAAGTCACTGATGTATATGGATGAGTATCAGCAGGATTTTCTCTCATCTCCACTGACCTGATGATTTCTTCTTGTAGTAAATGAGTCCAGCAGCTGCAATGATGATTCCCAGTACCAGACCAGAGGATCCAATAGTGATTTTATTCCTGTCAGACTCCGAAATAGAGGGATCTGTGAGGTACACAAATCATGCTCCGTTAGTGAATGATATTAGTACATTATCAAAATTTACATGTTTAAATATTTGTTTAGTTGTGCAAGTGTAATCACAAAATAATTTCCATATTTTCTATTTGCTCCCATAAATATGCCAAAAATATTAATAAAGGAAAGACTGTAAAGTAAATGTTTTGTCGTACTCCAGTCTTTAACAATAGGTTGAGGTGAGCTGGCGTGCTCCACCACACAGGAGATCTTCTCTCCAGATTTAGGAGTGTATTCCAGCTGAGAGTGAATCTGGTAGTACCAGTCTCCATCAGCCATCTCCATTGTGGAGGTCACTTCAGAGGTCATCAGTTTACCGTCTCTCAGCCAGGACACTTTGATTCTTTCAGGGTAGAATTCATATGCACTGCACATCAACACAGCTGGATGATTGCCTTCAGCCTGCTTCACTGAACTGAGCTTAACCTTCGGTTTTACTAAACCAGGAGAAGAAAATATTTACTCAAACATTGGCTTACAGTATTCTAATGTATAACACAAAAAAATATAAAAACATTAGATGACAAGTACTTGAATGAATTAAACTATGTGAACAACATGAATTATATGAACTATAAAGTAATTTCTTTAAATTCTGAAATGGATTGTCGAGGAAAAAAAAAGACCATTTCCTTATATTATTGTTTTTTTTTTTTAATCTTAAAGTTAAAACTTTGTAAAATAACCCCTGTGTAATGTTATCCAGTTGTAATATATATTTTATTGATTTTGTAAAAACAATCATAAATCACTGAAGAAAACCACATTGTACAGACACAACACCACCAAAACAACAGACAACAGTTTTTAATGCATTTTGAGTTTGTTTCTTCTGCAACAGTGGACACACATGGTGAGATATTTATTATGCAGTGAAGATGAGACAAGAGTCTTGCAGCACTCACCTGTTTTATCACGGACAGCTGAGTCCACGATCCGAGCATAATGTCTGCAGTATGTGTCCACATCAGCTTTCAGCCCCTGCATAAAGGCCTGATTATTGTTCCAGATCTCTGCACTTTTCTCTGCCTGCTCAGTGAACCACACAAACTTCCCAACAGTGCTGTTGTACTGTGCATCCAGAACTTTATTGAAGGACATTGACACAAGAAACACCATATCACTGTAATCACTGGTGCTGTAGATGCATTCAATCATCATGTATTCATAAAATCCATCAGCTGAAACATAAAAACAGAGTGATCATCCGGTTTTGTATAATTGCATGTCAGTTATAAAAACTAAAGTACCTATTCATCTGCTATTTGCTATTACTTTGTGTTGATGAATAGTCTAGTTACTGTGTGTTATGCATTCCCATTAGAGAGACACCACAACTACTGGCTCATCTCACTCAATATTCATGACCATGTTTTTTAAAAATAGGTAATTGAATTAACAGCAATGACATTATCAACAAAATATCAAAGATAAAAATTCATTCAAATGTATCAATCACAAGTTTACGGATGAATTAAGGAATTCAATTTGCTCAATATTTCATTGTACTTGCCTGTTCCAATAAATGCAGACATCATCACAATGGGAGGGAAAATCAAGAGTTTTAACAGTGACATGATTACAGTCTATGAATTTGCCAAATGGAGAACTTTCTCTCAGTGTTTCTTCTTGTGGTAGATGTCTATATAATCTGGCAAATCACACTTCTACTCACATAAATGTCAAGTGTTGCTAGGTGGAAAACTGCCCTCATTTTCCTGTTTTCATTGGACAATTAGTGTGTGTGTGTGCGTAAAATGTATGTGTGTATAAAATGTATGTAAATGGGCATAACAATGCACTTAAAAAAATACAAATTATTTATTTTATCTGTGTAAAAAAGGAACAAAAACAGTTTTACTTTATCTTTATTTGTTTGGCCTTTATTGCAAAAGTTTGATTTCAGTAGGCTCTGCTCCTGGTCCTGGAGAATTTGATTGGTCTTTGAAGACATACAACAGTTATACCACAAATATATACATTTTATATTGGAATTATTTCATTTATTTGTTCCTGGTTTACAAAACAATCTGCAATTAAATGCTCCAAACAAGCAGTTAATTCTCTTTAAAAACCCTCAAAAATATCATCCACTTCTTATACTGCTGGAGTCCTTCGCATGTTTGGCAGTATGCACAATGTTAGTTACAGTTTTTCTGAATTGCTAAAACACTAAACTCTATTCTCTGAACTAAATTCTCAATATCATAAACCAATTTGTTAGTTGGACACTGTTTGCTAATCTCATGCACTCTTCTTTGCAAAACTCTGAACACATTCTCACTCACTAAAACACATCTTGCACTGTGATGCACTTGTGTTGCAAAAGGCAGGTGAAACCTACACACCTAAATCACAGTTGTCATCGTTTACACACAACGACTCAAAATTTTTCACATTTATTTCTAATGATGTGATCAAACCAACTGTACAAAACAAGTCAGTTCAGAGTGCTGACAGGTGTACTGAATGATATGAGCAATAGATGGAAACAATCTGAGAAGGAGATGAGGAAAATTACGAGTAAGAGGTGCCTGGTGGACAAGGAGGAAGAGGGCGAGAAAGAGGTTCTGTGGACAGTTTTGTCAAGTCTGGATCTGGCACACTAGAGGGTTTTTCCTTTTGCCTGGCAAAAGACAACATTGTCTGTGATGTGGACAGAGTCCTCCGGCAGGACCCAACATGAAGACATGATGCTGAGAATTAATCTCAGCAAGAGATTAATTCGAAGAGGATGAGGAAGAGCAAGGTGTGGAGAATGTTGTCAAGGCTGATCTGGCTTTAGGTTTTTCCCTTTCCCTGCAGAGACGACATTGTCTGTGATGTGGACAAAGTCCTCATGAATCCAACATGAAGACATGATGCTGAAGCAGAATAAAATCTCTCTCACTGTCTTTGATTTTGCAGTTGCACAACTGTAACTACTGAGTGTACTGTAACATGCTTTTCATTTAGAGGTTCTTATTTAATTTTTTACCTTTTTGGACTTTTGCAGTATAGGACTGCTGTATTTTGTGCTGAATACAGTTTTTCTGAATTGCTAAAACATTAAATCCCATTATTTGAACCAAATTCTCAATAGTCTAAACCAATGTCGAATAAATCACTCTTTCTGTAAAACATTAAACAAGTTCAGGTAGTTAAAACACTGTTTGCAAGACTCATGCACTCTTTTTGCAAAACTCTAAACACATTCTCACTCACTAAAACACATTTTGCACTGTGATGCACTTATGTTTCTAAACACAGATAGGCAAATGCTAAACACAGATAGACAAACGTTAAACACAACTGCAACACAGTTGTCATTGTTTACACACAACGACTCAAAATTGTTCACACTTATTTCTAATGATGTGACCAAACCAACTGTACATAAAAGTTCCAAAATTTACTCAAAATGTTGCACTGAATGTTGATACCAACAATGGATGGAAACGATATAAGAGGGAGAGAAGGAAGAGGATGAGTATAAGAGGAGGTGAACAAGGAGGAAGAGGATGAGGAAGAGCAAGGTGTGGAGAATGTTGTCAAGGCTGATCTGGCTTTAGGTTTTTCCCTTTCCCTGCAGAGACGACATTGTCTGTGATGTGGACAAAGTCCTCATGAATCCAACATGAAGACATGATGCTGAAGCAGAATAAAATCTCTCTCACTGACTTTGATTTTGCAGTTGCACAACTCTTCTGAGTGTACTTTACTGTAACATGCTTTTCATTTTGAGTTTTTTTTTACTGTAACCTTTTTGGCTTTTGCAGTTGGGTCACTGTATTTCCACATATGCAAGTGGTGAAGATATTCAATACTATACAATTTTAATATTATACTTGCAGTGCATACAGAATAACATTTATCCAACTTATCCTGTAAGTTGTCATTACTTTTTTTCTGTAACTGCATGCTTTGGATTCTGTGTTCTCCATTTTTTTGATGTAGTGTCTAATGAATGATCTGTAGTGTTTATAAAAGTGTCTCGCTGTGTGTGATCTGAAAGCTTTGTTTTATTTTGGGCACAGATAAAATGGTTTTGAGGCAACTGTTTGATTTTGCCAGAAGAGTCGGAGGTTCTGTGAATGTAGTTTGAAAATTTGGTTTTGTGTTTAAGGTTTTGAGAAAGTGAGGTATGGTTTCAAGAAATGTGTTTTAGCAATTCAGAAAAAACTGTAATAACCAAAATACAACAAAATGATTGTTTTTCAATTTAGTTATTTTAAATATTTGGTTATTCAGTATTAAAAATTTAGCAAGAAACATGTTTCATATCATTTTTAGAGATGTTGATTGAAATATGTTAAAGGACATTTACAGATGTTATATTGTAAAATACGCACCAAATTGACATAAAAATCAAATTAAAGGCAGTAGGTAGTACTGTGTGTGTGTGTGGGTGCGTGTGGTGAAATATCATATTGTTTCAAGTTATGTGTCCTCCCTAAAAAGGCCAATACATGGTCCAGATGATGTTACTGTTTAAATGTGCACAGATTTTTTTGAGGGTTAACTTTAGGGGTAAGGTTGGACATATCATTCACCTGAAATAAAAACAAGTCTATAAAGTCTATAAAATGTATAATCTTAAATATAGTTTCTAAGGTCTGCACGTGTGTGTCTAAGGATTTTTGGGGGTATTATGTGCATTTTGGTTTTTCAAAACTATCATAAACATTGTCAGAGAGAAAGCCTTTTGGGCATCAGTCTGACAGATGGCACAGCAATGCTTTGGGCAACCTGAGTTTAAAGTCCTCTTTTGATCTAGTTCTCCTCCCATTACACCCTGTCTCTCTTCCACTTTTCTGTCCAATAAAATAAAAAAATGTAATAAAAGACTATCTTCTTCATTTTTTACCAATTACAGATACTTTGGCAAATAAACTTTAACTGTTGAAGACAGAATGTGAGTCAATATTAAATGGTCAAAGGTAAATGTGCAATAAAAGAATATTGTTTGTCCAGTGTTTCATTTCAGTGTTTCATTTTGTTTAATGTCAGAGCCCTGTGTCTGTTGACATTAACTTTTCTATAAAACATCTGTACTGTAGAACATTATCAGGTGAAGATGAGATCCACTTTTTTAGTGATCTTCTAATAAATGCACCTCAATACATTGCATGGCATTGCCTTGACTTCTGACAGAAAAAAAAAAAAAATCATTTGGATCATTCATATTTGAACAAATATTTGAACAAATGAAGGAAAATCATGCTGTGTCAGAACAATAATTTGACGGACCCCAACCAAATTTGAACATTATTTGTCATGTTAATTAGAAGTACAAAAAAATTCAGAATTACAAAATAAGAATGTGTTCATTTTGAACTGCTTTCAGTTGCAGTTGTTTCCTTTAATGAGGAAGAAAGTTCCAGCAGCGACTCCCAGCAGTCCAAGAGTCAGACCCACTCCACAGAACACAGCTGGACCAACACTGGGGAGGGCAACATCAACATCTGAAACACACAGGAACATGATGATGCATATGCCACAGAATGTAAAATCAAATATATTGATCAAATGATCAAATATAAAACAAAAGGCATGGCATGAAACTGAAAACAAAACATGAACATTGACTTAACAATTAATCAATGACAACATGACTCATTCACGTGGGGAACACTTGGCAGGATCACATGACAAGAACAGGGGATCACATGACATTGACAGCCATGTGTAAACGTAGCCTGAATCTACATGAAGCAGTGCCTCACCCCATGTTTTGGTTTTAGGTTGGCCTGGAATGGATCTGTGGTTCACAGTGCAGCTGTAAATGTCTCCCTCTTCAGGCGTGAACTTCAGAGCAGAGAAGATGTTGAAGGTGCCGTCATCTTTTAAGCGGTACTGGCTTAGACTCGTGCCTTCTGTCACAATCTGATTGTTTTTAGTCCATGACACCTTGACAGGTGGAGGGAAGAATCCAGTCACATGACAGATGAGGGTGTTCTCAACATCCTGCACCACGTCATCTTTCGAATAGATGGAAGTATCTGGGATGTCTGTGAACACAGAGAAATAGACCTTGGTTTTGGGACCTCAGTGGACATTTTATCTTGGACTACAAGATTAAAAAAAATCTTGCAAACCAAAATCTTGATTATATTTGTAATTTCAGCAGCTAATTTCTTTGCACATCTCCAAAAATGTAAACTTCAGATTATTATATCTATTATATATCCATCATGTAAAAATATAATAATAATATGCAATGTGTGTCTTACCTAGTTGTTCGACCGAGGGTTTGTAAACTTTAATGTCTACGTCTAAGTTAAGTTTGCAGAGGTCTAATAAACCAACACCAGCATCATAAGCTTCAGAAAAGCTGACAGGATCTGCAAAGTCAGGCGCTGTTGGTACTCCTCTTTTTCTAATGAAGTCTAAGTGGACCATTTCCTCTCCATCAGATCCATACAAAACTTCTTTCTCTGTATCAGAACATCCAATAAATCCAAAATCCCTGTGCACAACTGAAACAGATAAATTGTGATGATATTAGCCAGAATGGATAATATGAAATGAATAACTAAGGATGAACTTTATCTGATGTGCAATCAGTACAGTGATAGTATTTAAAAACAAACTATTTAAAACAAGATAGTAATTGTTTTTTCAACCCTAAAAAAGTGCTATTAAATAGATAATATATTAACTGTGCGTTCACACCAGACGCGAATAGCGCATCAAATTCGCGCCTACCGTGTCTAGTTATAAGCTTGAACACTTTGAATCCATTTGCACGTCAAGAGCGAAATTTACGCACGTCACGCGTAATCGAAACCCGTTGGCGGCCATCTTTTTTTATGTTGATCGAGCATTCATCGAGAGAGTCACCGTTCTGTATTTGCTCTGGAGAGCAGAACAGCGGCGTAGGGATCATCGTCGCCGTATTTGGGTCCACCAGTACGGTGTACATTTTAGGACATCCTCAGACATATGAAGACAAGGCATCATGCCTCAGACTAAAAGGGTTCAGTCATTGGACAAAACGGCATCGCGTCTCAGACTGAAAAGCTTCAGGTCTCAGGAAAAACAACAGGTGTCAGGTCTCGTGCGAAACGGCATCAGACGAAACAGCCTCGGACAAAAAGGCATCAGACAAAAGGATCTGACGAAATGGCATCAGACAAAACAGCCTCAGACAAAAAGGCATCAGACATAAAGGCATCGGGCGAAACGGCATCAGACGAAACAGCCTCAGACAAAAGGGCATCAGACATAAAGGCATCAGACATAAAGGCATCGGACGAAACGGCATCAAACGAAACAGCCTCAGACAAAAAGGCATCAGACTAAAAGGCATTGGGCGAACGGCATCAAACGAAACAGCCTCAGACTAAAAGGCATCAGACTAAAAGGCATCAGGCGAAACAGCATCAGACGAAACAGCCTCAGACAAAAAGGCAACAGACTAAAAAGCATTGGGCGAAACAGACTCATGTGGAGTTTAGAGGTTAGAGGTTCGGCACTAACCCAGTGCCGCCAATTAAGCAAAACAAAACAAAATGAATGGGCCGCCGATGTACGAGTTTTATGGGCCGTTAAAACAAAGACAGAAAAAAAAATAGCCTATTAGATGTATCGGCCCAAAAAGCACGTCGGCACACCGGGGAATCTCCTAGCCTAGATGTGTGGACGTCACACTTTAAATCCTATCTGTTGCCTTTGACCATCCACTTATTTAGCTGCTGGCGCATCAATTGACATGCCATCTCATTTTCCCTCTTTCTTTTTCTATTTTTAGCCCCGACAGCTTTTTTGCTTTATCCATCTTTTTCAACTTGTACCTGCTCGCTCAGTGCTCACGGCGCCCCCGCCCGCTCGCGATATTATCCCCTGGGGCTGCATTTACACATTTATAATTTTCTGATTATACCCGATTTTTTTGATGACCCACTTACATTATCTTTTAAAAGTGACCCGTATCCGATTTTTGCATAAATACACTGCTGAAACTACCAAATGTAGACGTTCTGACCCGGAAAAGGAAGTAAAACAGCACGAAATGCAATGGATGCAGATGCGAATACAATTATCCAGTGTTTTGCTTTCCACAATATTTTGAAAAGTCAGCAAAAAAGTCAGCAAAACATTAGTCTCGTATGGCGGAGAAAAAAAAGGAGAGCCCTTGTTGCAGCCTGGGCGAATTTAGCAATGATCGCTGCAACATCGGTTCAAAGGGAGGTTTGGATGCGGCAAAGGACTCAAGACTGGTGGGATCGCGTTGTTGGAACCTGGGGTCAAGAACTGTGGGTCAGCAACTTTCGTATGCGACGAGAAATTTTTGAAATGTTGTGTGTGCGTTTGTCACCAATGCTCTCTTACGAGGACACAATTTTTCGCCAGGCAATCTCAGTGCAGAAGCGCGTTGGAGTTGGACTATGGTGGCTCGCGACAGGAGCATAAGACTGTTTGGCATAAGTGACGCATCAGTATGCCTAATAGTCCGGGAGTTTTGCCATGCCGTGCGAAATGAGATGATGCGCGAGTACATCAAGCTGCCAGAAGGTGAAGAGCTCCAAAACGTACTTCTAGGATTTAAAAATTGCTGGGGTTTCCCTCAGTGTGCCGGGGCTATAGACGGGAGTCATATCCCAGTCATCGCTCCACCTGAGAACCATACAGATTATTTTAATCGCAAGGGATGGCATTCTGTGATCTTGGAAGCAGTTGTGGACCACAAATACTGGTAAGGACATACATAATTTATATTGATTTGTCTCCCTGGTTGTTGCTATGCCTTTTCCCATGTTATTGTGTTATTACATGCTATTACATGTTATTACATGTCTTTCATTTGTTTCTGTCACTGTCTTTACTCAGATATCATGTTTTTCTCTTTATTAATGTACAATTAATACCTCTACCCCAATAGTTTCACAAACATCAACATCGGATGGCCAGGAAGTGTTCATGACTCCAGGGTTCTTCGTAATTCTGTTATCTACGAGAAGGCAGAAAGAGGAGTCCTCTTTCCAAACGCGAGTTATTTTTTCTTGTAAACTCAAATTCAGCCTTCAGTGTGTGCAAAGCATACATAGTATAGAAAGGTATGTACATAAACTATACTGAACTATCCCAGCTTTATCTACTCACATATTTATTAATCATGCTAAAAGTTATTGTCATGAAGTATGGATCAATGATATTGACGTGCAATTATATAACTTAAAACATTTCCCTTGATTTGCATAGTAATGTCATTATCACAGCAGTCCTCTTCAGTAAGAGTTGTAATTTGTTATTTTCATGACCAAAGACCACTGAGGAGATCCAGGGCACACAAGTGCCCATCATGCTGTTGGGGGATCCAGCCTACCCACTTCGGTCCTGGCTAATGAAGGGGTACCCGGAAACTGGGAATCTGACCGAACACCAGCGTCATTTTAACAAGAGACTAAGCGGGGCTAGAATGACGTTGGAGTGTGCGTTCGGAAGATTAAAAGGTTGGTGGAGGTGCCTGTCAAAACGTCTAGATGTGGACATATCTACAGTTATCTCCACATGCTGCACTCTGCATAACATCTGTGAAAAACACAATGAGGCCTACAGTGAAGATCCAAGTGCAGCTGGACCTCCTGATGTACCACCAGGTGCTGTTGACCCGTTGGGCATTGCAGACATCCAGCCAGTAAGAATCAGGGAGGCACTGACCACATATTTTGCTCAATAATAAATGTAAACAATGTAATAAAAGATAAGACAACATTCCTAATGCTGAACTTGTATTTATTTTTACTGTTATTCAAACAATTAACATTTTCCAGTCTGTGTATATATCAAACATTTTATACACATTACAATAAGAAAAAAATGCTCTTCCAAAAAAAAAAAAAAACTATGAACTTGACATTCTCCTTAATACAAAGCCTGAAAACAGTAGAAAACATGTCATCCTGACTAGTCAAAAACTAGAAAAAAAAACTACAAGATGACTTAAATTACTAGTCATCCTCTGAAGGCAGGGGTGATGACAATTGTAACTCGGGTATGTTTGAATTTGGATTGGGGGAACTGACTGGCTTAGAGCAGATGCAGCCCTGTTGAGAGGGTGGAGGTTGAAGGGTGGTGAAGGTTTTTGGAGGTGGGGTATCAGGAGGTAGGAGGGGTGTACAATTATCTGAAAAGAATGGAGGGTGGGAATAGTGAAAGGGACCAGCAGAGACATAAGCAGTGCCCTCCTGGACTGCTGCGCCGCATATAGCGCATACCCACTTTTTGCGCCACTGGGTGCACCCAATCTTGAAGAACAGAGAGTCTGAAGGGGAGTATAGGCTTCTAATCTTGTACAGGAGCTAAAACTTTATCATGGCCGGTTCCGCACTTATTTTCGGATGTCTGTGGGACAATTTGAGGAGCTCCTTCAGACAGTGGCACCGCATCGGACTAGACAAACCACAAACTTCAGGGAACCAATCGATCCGGAGCAGCGTCTGGCAGTCTGCTTAAGGTGATCTGTCCTCTTAAAATCTTCAGGGGCTACGTTTACATGCAATTTCCTTGGTTGTGATTGGCTGAAGCCTTTTCTGTCGCCGCAAAAGTAAAGAAAAATCGACATCGAAGCGAATAAAATAAAAGTCGTTTTTTCGCCGCAGCACATTCGCGTTCGGTGTGGAAGCACTCATTACACAAACAGCTGCTCACAAAATAAAACCATCGCGCAAATTATTCGTGCGTCATAATTGCGTCCAGTGTGAAAGGACCTTAACGCGCCAGACGCTCAAATGAGGCGTATTCGCGCGCGTAACGCGTCTTTGCATTGACTAACCCCTTATTTACACGGCACACATCTGCGTCGCATTACGGCTCCGACAAGGTTTTATTCCGTCCTTCACGCGGTGCCAACTCACACCAGGAGCATTTCAGAAGCGAAGCGAATGGATGCGCGAGACCACGTGATTTGCCTGTCCGACGTGGTTTTTCTTGATTTTTGGGTTTCTACCATAGACTGTAAAAAAATATGGACGTAGTGTCCGTGAAGTCACCCGTAGGTTTCTGAAGAGCATTTTTGAAGCCTAAAGTGGGCGGGGCCGGCCTTCGCCATCTAGGCAGCGCGTCACCTCTCGTCACTCCCGGATAAAATAAAATGGGCAAAGAGGCGGGACGTGGGTGGAGCTGAGGTGCTAATGCTATATGCTACTGGCCTAGCGCTAAAGTGACAGCTGATTGAAGAAGTAAAGCCAATAGTTTAAGTTCATGTTTTTGCCCTTCAAAATTCTATAATAGTTACAAGACGTAACTAAAAGTGAGACTGTGTGTATCATGAAGCATTATTGTTCTGCTAGTTAAAAATTTATTATCATGCAGTAACTTACAATATTGCTCTGAGGGTGTGCGTGTGACAGTGATTCATGCGCATACATGTCAGTCAGCGCGGCATCACATGTCTGGGTCATGGGTTAAACCAAAGATATTACCCCAGAAGTTCAAGTTAATGCACTAGAAATCGACGCTCATTCAAGGGTGTGCAGCATCTTTTGCATGGATGGAGAGAAAGCACTGTCACTTGCAGGATTTCATCTGACGGTACTTTTTATTTAACACTAAAAAGTTAAATAAGCTGTTCCGTGAGAGCAACGGTACCGAATAATGAGTGTGGTCTCTAGATCTATAGACGTTTTTAAATCTAAACTCCAAAAAGCAACGAAATTGTCAGATATCCATTAGTGCATGCGATGATGCGAGGGAAACAACTGGAAATACAGCGCTGGTTGTTCTCTCCATACTCGACAACGACGGAATCCAACGGCGTGGGGGAAGTTATAACGCGTGGCGTGTATTAAATTGTATTAAATAATCCCGAAAAAAGCACAAACACGGCAGAGATGGCAAGTACAGCAGCTGCTGGAATTAGCTGAGGGTGACGTTAACAGACAGCAGACAAACAGCTAGCAGTGACAGCAGCTGCGATCCACCTGTCACTCAAGTGGCCACGCCATTATGCAGAACTTTAAGCTAATATAATTTAAACGGATGAGTTGTAAAAAAATTCCCCCCCCTCACAGTTTTCATGAAAGGCAAAATTAGCTATATAGACCAAAACCACTATTTGACACCAGGCTGTAAACATATTTTTTTCTGCTGTAAAGTTGGGCATTTTAACATGGGGGAGATACAGATTTGACTCACTTTTGCTGCCAGCCTCAAGCGGCCAGTCGATGAATTGCAGTTTAATTCACTTCCGTGTTGGTTTCAATAGAGAGACAGGGAGGTTGCCGCTTGGTTTCTACCTTAGTCTATGATTTCTACCAAGGATGTATTGGTAGATACAATACAATTGGGATTCTGCACAGGGTGTTTATTTTGAAATTGACAGAGTTTTTTTTACTTATTTTGTATACGGTGCGGCTTGGACGCGGCGTCCGTCAAAAATAGACTAGGCGCCTATCTTTAGCGAAGCGGCGCGGAGAGGTAGCCGTGTCGCAGCCATAACGGGCCGCAGACATGTGCAGTGTAAATAAGGGGTTAGATCCACTTTTGCGACACGACTGGCGCGTGGTGTCGCGATGCCTCCCCACATTGTACTTTGATGGGCGTTCCTCAAGTTTACCGCTATGGGCGTGTTTTTTTGTAGTAGGACGTCTAGAACAAATGGGACCCGCGAGAGACTTCCCCAGTCTCCATGTGCTCTACTTCTATTGGATAGACGCATCGCGTTCAACGATTGTGTGATGTCACCCATAGGAATAAAGTGGAGCGCGGCGCGACAGAAGTGTCGCACGGACAAGTGGATCTACAGCCTTAAGCCGCCTTTCCACTGCACACGACAAATGACAGCCGTTGGACCGGAAGTCATTCATTTCCAATGGATAGTCGTACGGGAGCTGCAGAGAGTTCCGATCATATGCGTATGCCGAAAATTCGGATCCGATTTGAGCTTTGGATCCGTTGAAATTTGAACTTCTGCGAATAGACCGTATGCGACCGGCCGACCGGATGTGATGTATTCTAAATAAAACTATGAGCGCAAGGCTAGAATTACCAATATTTGAACTCTTTAATGTTATTCTGTAAACGCTATTTCGGTAAAATGTCGGTTATTAATAATTATGGCAGAAAAAAATATTTTATAATTATTAAATCAATATTTATATCGATTAGGTCTATAAAATCTACTATGTTTTTATTTTAGATGTATTGAGGGTCATTTGTTTTGTGTGGATATATTCATGCATGCATTACATTCATTCAAATCATTAATTTTACCATTGTGAACAGCCGAGGGTAACTGTTGCTTCACGACCAATTTCAAAGTTCCGTGCGACTGACAGGGGCGAAATGCGACAATCGTATGTGTATGTGAATGTCGTGTGCAGTGGAAAGGCGGCTTTAACATTGAAATCACTCGCGCCAGATGCTCTATTCGTGTCTGGTGTGAACGCACCATGGATTCTTAATAGCAACCTTTGTGAATGGTTTCAAGAGAGCCACCATACATTTGTGTTGTTTTCTTTTCTTTTTTTATATCCAACAATTTAATTTTCCATTCAATTATATAATCATTTATTATACATTTTAATCCATTATCTTTTTTTTTTTTTTTTTTTTTTTTTACTAATGTCACTGTTTCATTAATTGATCAGTCATTTTATATTATTTCTGTTTAGTCTTATGTTGTGTTGTCTTAAACAAGTTAGAGATGAGAATGTCTCAATTTCAATGTTTTAATTCCACATGATGTTGTGAAGCATTTTTCATTGCTTTGGTATAATAACACTTGTATTTATTCTGGTCAGACAATGTTTGACTGAGCATTGACACATACAAAAACTAAAACTTGATGACTCTCTATGGGCTTCGCCCTTGCGGATTTTATGCATCCACGTCCCCCCGATTGCCTGCGAGCTTCTCCTCCTGTCTATACGGTAATTTCTCTACTGTGCGACAGAGAGTCGAGTGGTTATGACGGAATCGTTAAGCTATTTTTACAAAAACTGCTTCTACGGGGCCATAACGTAAGATACAAGGTAATGGAGCCTTTTATACATTGTCGTGTTTCTTTAGAAATAAATAATGGACAAATGGAGTCTTTAAACGCCTCAGATGTAAAGTTATTCGCTGTCAAAGTGACGCCAAAATGAATGGGAGTCAATGGAATGGTGGCTTGATAGCCAATGGCGGCCCCAGGGGAAGCTTCGGTTTCCGGCGGATGGATTACCCCCTTGGAGATTTCCCCTTCCATGTAAAGCGCTTTGAGTACCCAGAAAAGCGCTATAGAAATGTAACGAATTATTATTATCTACTTAATAAATCAGCAGATATAAGTTTAATAGACAGTTTTCTGACTTACCTCGAGTCTCAGTTCTCTCAATAACAGTGAGCATAAGCAGGACACCATACATCTCCCTTGTTCATTCAGAAGTGAGTAGAGCAAACACCATATCAAACAGTCCTGGAGTGAATAACAGCTAGAGCTGCTGATCCCTGATCATGTAGAAGCCTCCCAATCACAGCATCCAATCAGAAAATGAGCCCTACTCTGACATCACTGTATCTAGTTAAAATCATGTTCTGTTTCTTTACTATATTGAATAACAAACCTTTTACAAACATATTGCAAATACAATATTGTTAGGCTTTAGTGCTAATTCTATTTATGTTGTTGTAATTATGCTATATCATTCAAATAATTTAATTATCTATCTTTCTTCTTATCACACTGTCGGACAGTTTAACAGTCTTACCTGTAACTGTCAGATTTGGCTGATGCTCAGTGGGCTCTCCCTCACTCTCTGAGCTGCCTCATCTTGAATGAAACTATTAGACATTTAATTTAATATATACGTGGGCTAAAGGCGCACCGAGGTAAAAGGCGCATTTGACTTCATTCTCTTTTAGACAAAAATTCAGCTCTGCATTTTTCTTAATAAATGCTTTTCATGATGCACGTGGAAATTTGGCTGATCCAGATTTATGCAGCAAATGAGAATCACTATTATTGAATTATTATTTTGAGACAAAGGGCATTTGTTGCATTTTTAGTTTTGTTCAAGGTAAATGAGGCAACAGGTTTTCAATAATGGAAGAATATTCAAAAGTATGGTATTTGGGGTGAAAGGCACAATAATTAGCATCACAATAAACTGCTGGCTGACTTTTCCATGACATGACGATTAGATTCAAATAGTAAATCTCATATATTAATTTGGGTGACCCATACAGAAAAGAGATCCATCACCTGGCCCTGTGGTGTTCAGAAAACAATCTGATTTTTAACGCCACTAAAACCAAAGAGGCTATGTATAATGACAATGAAGTAAAAAAATATATATATATTTATAATGAAACCATCATATTTAAAATATATATATATATATATATATATATGATATGAATTAAATATATAATAAAATACAATATAATAAAATATTATATTTATTTGTTACTACTGTACTGTAAAACTATATTAAATTGTTTTGGGATCTCCTTCAGTGGTTTCAGACTACATTTTTTTAATAATTTTGTTCATGTATTTTTAAAATGAAAATTTTAATGACAGTATATTTATTTAACAAAAATGAATTGTTTAATTTATCAAAATAACAAATGTGACCCTGGACCACAAAACCTATGGGCCAATTTTTTTTTAAATTGAGATTTACTCATACATACCATAAATAAGCTTTCCATTGATGTGTGGTTTGTTAGGATATGACAATATTTGGGAGAGATACGACTATTTGAAAATCTGGAATCTGAGGGTGCAAAAAAAATCGCCTTTAAAGTTGTCCATTTATGTTAGCGATTGTGCTGCATTCACTCACATTTTTTTAAAATATATATTTACGGTAGGAAATTTACAAAATGTCTTCATGGAAAATGATCTTTACTTAATATCCTAATGATTTTTGGCATAAAAGAAAAATCAATAATTTTGACCAATGTATTGTTGGCTATTGCCACAAATATACCCGTGCTACTTGTGACTGGTTTTGTGATCCAGGGTCACAAATAACATATTCATAACAAGGTAGAATTTACAGACTGTGCTGAAGAGTTATATTAAGAGAAAACATTTGTTTTTAATAGGTTTTTGAAGGAGAAAAAAGGGTGGATGCTTGACAGATGTCTTGAGGAAGAACATTCCACAATCTGGGTGCAGCACCACAGCCCCACATAAGATATTTTTCACCAGCCGTCACTGGTGTTATTTAGCCTATATCAGATCAGGTACAGTAATTTGATTAGACAAGAATTCTTATCTTCCAAGAACATGGATATTTTCCACAAGTTGTTAGCACTAGAAGACCAGGAGCAGGCGATGAGGGCAGAGGGGCAGTGGCTCTAGCCACCGGGACACCTCCCTGTACCCGGCCCTGGTCAGAGGAGAGATTCCCTGACCACTGTCTGCACCTCTACCAGTGGTTTTAGTATGGGCTTCAAAAGCCATCCCTTCAATTCTCTTACTTATTAAATGGACAGTTCAACCAAACATTTACATTCTGTCATCATTTACTCAACCTCATGTTGTTCCAAACCTTTATGACTTCCTTTCTTCTGTGGAACACAAAAGAGGATGTTTTGAAAAATGTCAATTGTTTGTTGCCCATGAAACTCACAACAACATTGGACCCCATTGACTTATGGACAAAACACACTGTGACATTTTTCAAGATATCTTTTGAGTTCCACAGAATATAGAAAGTCATACAGGTTTGGAATAATATGAGTAAATCATAATTTCCAGATCTGTCAAATCGCGAGGGCATTACCGGGGCGCGGCCCTAGGACCCCCATAGATTTTCTGGATTCATGCGAGTTTAGGATTATCTTGCTGAAAAATTAAAGTTCTCTTAATTGTTAGCTTTCTAGCTGACGACAGAAGGTTCTGTGCAAAAATCGATGGTACTTCGAGCTATCATGACTCCCTCCACCTGCAAGCCCGTCTAGATCGGTCAATAGAACCGCACAGGTGGTGATCCTGTGAGGGTGTAGTGATGGAGGTGTGTGTTCAGTGCTCATGTCTAGGAGATGGGTGGAATCTAATCTATAACAATTGTGTTACAAATTTAGTTCCAGTTCTATACTGGGAGGCCATACATGCAGTGATGTGCTATTGTGAGGTGTGAATGGCCTCTTGAAGTGTCTTTTCACTCATCTCCCGTATCTCAGGTTATGTTCTAACAATTCCGCTGTCCTGCTTTGATGCAGGTGGAGTCAGGCCCATCCTGGCATCCATCCTCCAAGGATTTACAGAAACTAATGCAGAGAGAACCACAGTTAATTCTGATATTTTCAACAGCTTCGAAATCAGACATGTGGAATTCTTTTACTTGCTCCATTATCATGTCAATTGCAATTTTAATTCCAGTTGTCACATGAAACGTCTCGGTTACTAACGTAACCTCGGTTCCCTGAGATGAGGGAATGAGTATTGCGTAAGTAGCTTACGCTATGGGAAAACTTCTTTTCTCGAGAATATTGAAGCATTTTTTTAAAACGCAGTGTGGCTGCACAGCATACACAGATGAACGGGGAGCTCGGTCATTGGCTGTGCTGCGGCAACTGCACGAACCTATGACGGGGCGACTCGGCACAAGCACGGCAAGTTGCGCAATACTCGTTCCCTCATCTCAGGTAACCGAGGTTATGTTAGTAACCGAGACGTTCCCTTTCGAGAGGTCACTAATTGCGTAAGTAGCTTACGCTATGGGAACCCCATGCAAAACGCCGTGCGTGCTTAACTTCGCTCTAATATCAGCCTGAGGCAAGATGCCTGAGCCTTATGAGTAAAGTATGAATCCCAATAAGTCGGTCAGAGACGGACTTTATAAGGGAAAAAGGGGAGAGTGGCCTAATGAGGATCCACTCTATGATAATAAACGGATATATATATATATATATATATATATATATATATATATAGTATATAGTATATATATATAATATATATATATATGAACCTCAGTTCGTGTAAAACAAGATTTATGGGGATATGTGCTTACACATTTCATACTGAAAGTACCCTGGAATGCAGAGCAGGGACTTGTAGGTTATAAAACCTGATAAATGTGGACGGCGAGGCCCAGCCAGCCGCCGCACAAATATCTTCGATAGGTATTCCACTTGACCAAGCCCAAGATGAGGCCATGCCTCTTGTGGAATGGGCTCTGACGCCTAAGGGTCAATGAAGGCCCTTAGACTCATAAGCCAGCGCTATAGCGTCAACTATCCAGCACGATAACCTCTGCTTTGAGACAGCGAGACCCTTGGTACGGCTGTAGAAAGTGCTCCCCTTGGGCACATGGACTCTCCCAGTCACCCCTGTCATTCAGCGAGAAATGGACTGTTCCAAACTTTCCACCGGAGTTCGCGAAGTGAAGGGGAAGAGAGTAGACGGATAATAAAGGGAAAAGGAGATCGGCTGAATATTGTATATAGTTTGTAGAGTGAAATATAGGGTACTAGCCCAAATCGGAGGAGATTTATCGATTGTGCGTGTGCGTGCATCACACTGTAAGTAATCACATAATTGTTGAACATTCTCAGCGAACGCTAATCCGCCTGTATCTGTGTTTACATTTAAGGTTGTTTACTTAATTATATTCTACTGCTGTGACATTACTGCCATTCCATGTATATTGATGTTATTCGTATTCTAGTTATATTTATTCCTTATCACCAATGCACGGTTGTATCTCAGGTCGCGCGCATGCGCTCAGTTGTTTACATCTCGGTTCGACCGCACATGCAGCAGTAGTCATGCTCGCATGCACAGCTCGTGCACAGCTTGTGTACAGCGTTAGCGCACACACATCCATTCCCACTTTTTCAAGTATATCATCATAGAGATTGTATTGTGTTATATTTCCCCGCTATTTGTCAGTATTTTACCAAATAAGTTGTTTGTGTTTTATATACATTTATATATATTTATATCTTTATTTTGTATTCACAGAACCACACATCTATGCACATTTAATAAACCTACGATTTGGAATATAACCTGAGTGAGACATCATTGTTCTGACCGGACAAACTGCAGCCTTCAGCCAAACCTGAACTAGCAATTAGAGTGAATACTCACAAGATTTTTCATGGTCCTTCGAGCCGGATTGGTGAATTGCTACAGAGATGTCTCAACCCGAGAGAGAAGCGCCTGTCGTGCGTCCACGAAGACAGATCAACCCACCGACTCATTTAGTGGATTATGAGCTTGGTGAGCCATTGCCACATCGACAGCCATTCCCAGACTTCAGCCATAGCAGATTCCAGTCACCAAGTATGGTAGCACAGACCCGATCGTCTTCTCCCGTCAGTCAAGAGTTAGATCAGGATAAGTGGACACTGAGAGATGAATGGCAAAGTGAAAGATCCGATGGGCGAGGAGAAGAGGAAGTAGAGCTTACAGCCATGC